GGTGTTACACTGCATAACATTAGAAAGGAGGTAAGCTTTAACTAAAACTGTGATGGAAGGAGCAAAATGCTTGAAACTTCAGAGTGTGGGTCACTGCACTAAACTTATCTTTATATTAAATACACGATTAAATCCAACAATAAGCCTTTGTTATGGGTTTCTGTTAAAGATCAGTTTTAAAAGCTAAATCAACTTAAGTTTTCATACAATCCCAACTCAGTATGTTAATATGTTAATTTTTTACTTAGTAAAAAAACAAATGGATGTACTTATGGAACAGCGAGATGCTCAGAATTAATAAATAAAACATTGTAAAATAAGATAAATTGGCTTATTTATTTCATTTTTTCTTATAACATCTTATTTATTTCATAATGCCACTTTTCATCTGAATGACTTCAGCTGTCAATCAATGTCAGTGGGTTGGACCACGCCCACTGGTTGATCCTTCACATCCATTAATTTTCCTGAATACCTGCTCACTCACAGACATAATTTAGAGCTAATAATTTAGAGGTAATTCATAATTTAGAGCGAACAAATAACCGTTTTTACGTGTTAATCTTGTTAAATTCAAAGAATTAAAACAGTCCAACTAAACAAACAGCAATAATAAGATGTGAAGGATCAGCCAGTGAAGGTCCAACATTATGAAATAAATAAACTATCATGGAAAACACAATTAAGAAATAAGCCATGAAAAACATAATTATGAAATAAAATATATATTTTTTCTTATTTCATAATGCTTTATTTAATTTTGAGCATCTCAAACCTTTCATTGCTTCTACAGCCTGCTCCCTGCTGGACGGTGAGAGTACTACATGAAATAATTTATTTCCTCAGGAATTATATGAAGTTAAAGTTCAGAAAGCAAGTCTTTTATAGGGTTTTATTTTAAAGATCATGCACTTTAAGGTAGGATCTAACATGGTCAATGCTACACATGAAAACTCTACATTTGTAATTACCTAATACAAAACTGACTATTACTGAGGAATATAACAAATATAGGGGAAAAATTAAAATAAATCCAAAAACGTTAAGTCTGGTCCTCTGGACATTCAAAAAAAAATAAAAAAAGTAGAAACGTTTCATCTTTCATCCGAAAGACTTCTTCAGACTAAAGAAGTATTTCGGATGTAAGACAAAACGTTTCTACTTTTTTTGGGGCTTTGTTTTGGTTTTTTTTTTTATGTCAGGAGGACCAGATTTAACGTTTTTTGGCTTTTTCTACCTGGATTACTGAGCATGCATCAGGATAGAAATAAATCCATCCATCCATTATCTTTTACCCGCTTCTTCCTTTTTGGGTCACGGGGGTCACCGGTGCCCATGTCCAGCAGTCACTGTGCGAGCAGTGGGGTACACCTGGACAGGTCACAAATCCATCACAGGGCCACATAGAAACAAACGAGACAAACAACCATTCGCTCTCTCACTCACACCTAGAAACAATTTAGTTACACGCCAAGGCCAGAGGTACAGCCACCGTTCTACACAAATCAGTTCCTTTTCTCGCTGATCAAATTATCTCGGACCAAAATGGCAGGTACACTAGCTAACGTTTATGCACCCAACTGTGATGATGAGGCTTTCTATAGAATCTTTTTCTCTCGTTTGCCAGACCTAACTGCACATGATCTAATACTAGGTGGGGACTTTAACTGTTGGCTTGACCCTAAACTAGATCGCTCCTCTTCTAGACCAACCACACCCTCTCGAGCAGCCAAAGTTATTCAGTCCTTTATGCAGGAGTTTGCAGTAGAAGCTTGGTGTTTTCTTAACCCTTTGAAAAGGGAGTACTCGTTTTTCTCATCTGTACACCATACATTCTCTCGTATTGACCAAAACAGGCAGCTACTATTACAATAACGTTGTAGCTACAGTGCCGTGCGAAGGTATTCGGCCCCCTTTAACTTTTCAACTTTTTGCCACATTTCAGGCTTCAAATATAAAGATATAAAATTTAAATTTTTTGTGAAGAATCAACAACAACTGGGACACAATCGTGAAGTGGAATGACATTTATTGGACGTGTCAAACTTTTTTAACAAATAAAAAACTGAAAAGTGGGGCGTGCAATATTATTGGGCCCCCTTGCGTTAATACTTTGTAGCTCCGCCTCTTGATGCAGCTCCAGCTGCAAGTCTCTTGGGGTATGTCTCCATCAGTTTTGCACATGGAGACACTGAAGTTCTGCCCATTCTTCCTGCAAAACAGCTGGAGCTCAGTGAGGTTGGATGGAGAGCGTTTGTGAACAGCAGTCTTCAGCTCTTTCCACAGATTCTCGATTGGATTCAGGTCTGGACTTTGACTTGGCCATTCCAACACCTGGATACATTTATTTGTGAACCATTCCATTGTAGATTTGGCTTTATGTTTTGGATCATTGTCTTGTTGGAAGATAAATCTCCGTCCCAGTCTCAGGTCTCTTGCAGACTCAAACAGGTTTTCTTCCAGAATGGTCCTGTATTTGGCCCCATCCATCTTCCCATCAATTCTGACCATCTTCCCTGCTGATGAAAAGCAGGCCCAAACCATGATGCTGCCACCACCATGTTTGACAGTGGGGATGGTGTGTTCAGGGTGATGAGCTGTGTTGCTTTTACACCAAACATATAATTTTGCATTGTGGCCAAACAGTTCGATTTACCATATTTTCTGGCGTAAAAGTCACTTTGGAGTATAAGTTTCATTTATTATGCTTCATCGCTGACCCATCGCGTTTATTATGCATTTATTTGTTGGTCAAAACAGCTTCATTTTGTCTGGTGGCACGGTGACATCCATCCATCCATTTATCCATCCATCCATCCATCCATCCATCCATCCATCCATCCATCCATCCATCCATCCATCCATCGTGACCAGAGCCACTAGCTCTCCAGCATTCCTCCGCCTGCACCAGCTGAGTGAAGCTAACGGGCACGGGAGGACTCGCTGTTGCAGTTCTTCGAAATTTAAAGCGTCAGTCAAAAATTGCTTTATGAATATGGAAAAAAAAAAAAACGTATGTAAGTCGCTTCGGCGTATAAGTCACAGGACTGACAAATCTATGCAAATAACGGCGACTTATACGCCGGAAAATATGGTACATACAGAAGAAATTCATAACAGTGTGAAATAGCAAGTTGATAAAGACACGTTTAGCTTCAATTTGTCTATCCTAAGCTTACACAGATTTTAGACGAATCCAAAGATCCGGGTGAATATGTTGCTTGTGTTGACGAGCAGATCCTGAGTGTTCACACTGGGGTTATCAAGAGACATGAATGGGATGGTATCAATATATTTCAACCCATCTATGTGGTTTTATGTGTTTTTTTTATTTGTTTAATGTTGTGAAATTTTGTTTTTCCAAATTGTTCATAGATTCTGAACTCCTGCCTGAAAGCTGTTGAGAAAATGTCTAGCGACAAGGTCAGTAAATTTGAAGAATAGACATTTGTACCATGATATTTCTAAGTTTGGAGTGACAGCGTATAAATACTGAACGCGTAAAATCCATGCTCATGTGACAATAACAAGTATTGTAATGTCTTATAATGTTAATTAAGCATTAATCCAGTGCAAAATCCTTTTGCACGTTTTTAAATCTTAAAATGTCCAGAGTCTTAACTGGAGTTAGCAGGAGAGATCATACCTCGACAGTTTTAGCTTCTCTCCATTGGCTCCCTGTCAAATCCAGAACAGAATTAAAAATCTTACTTCTACCTACAAAGCTCTCAACAACTTGGCTCCATCTTATATTACAGATCTTATTGTTCCATATTTTCCCAACAGAGCACTTCGCTATGAGGCTGCAGGTTTACTCGCGATTCCTAGAGTTTCCAAAAACAGAATGGGAGGCAGAGCTTTCAGTTATCAGGCTCCTCTCTTGTGGAGCCAACTTCCAGTTTCTGTCCGTGAGGCTGACACACTGTCCAGTTTTAAGACTTTCCTTTTCGACAAATCCTATAGTTAGGGTTGACTTGGGTTTCCTGAGCTGTCCCTTAGTTATGCTGCTATAGGCTTAGACTGCAGGAGGACAAACTGACCACATCTTTTCACTCTGCTACTGTCTTTACTTACTCTGATCAATCTGTTTTGTATTTGTAATTATTTTGTTCTATCGTTCATGTGTTTTTGTCTTTCAGATGCACCTGCATCTATATCTGGACCTGCCAATTCTATGTTCGTCTGTCTCTCCTTCCTGTCCTCTCAAACCCAGCCGGTCAAAGCAGATGGCCGCTTGTCCTGAGCCTGGTTCTGCTGGAGGTTTCTTCCTTTTAAAATTGAGTTTTTCCTTTCCACTGTTGCCACTGTGCTTGCTCAGGATGGGAGACTGCAGCGAAGTAAAGATTCAACTTGTCTGCTGGATTCCTTAGATAGAGAACTTTACTAATTGGCTTTTCTATATATGTGAATGTTCCTGTAAAGTGCCCTGAGACAACCTTGTTGTGGTTTGGTGCTTTATAAGTAAACTGAATTGAACTGAGCGGTCTGCGGGTGGGTCCGCTTCGGAGTCCACTGCTATCTGGGTATTGATCTTATCAAATGTTTAAAATCCTCTAAAGACATCAAGGTGGACAGCTTCAGTTCCTGTTGCAATGTGTTCCAGGTTACAGGAGTAGGAAAAGGCCTTTTTGCCGAGTTCAATCCGCTCTGAGGGAACGCTGCAGGTAATGATGTCCTGAGAGCGCATGCTGTAACTGCACTGACGACGCAGCATGTGGGAGCCAGATAAAAGGTAGCAGACCGAGTGATTTTATGAAAATTAACCAGTGTGAGCCTACGTATGGTGACAACTGACAAATGAGTACGGAGTTATAGTCAGTTATGAATCTTAGCTACAGTCTAAGGACATGTAACATGTCCCTGAAGATGAGAAAAACTGGTCCTAGTAGTCCTGGAAAATCCTTCTTTTGTCCCAACAGGCCAGGTAAAAACCCGCCAGGGAACCTGGGAAACAGTCCGATCCCGGACATGTGATTGGTCCAGACACTCCGACTGTTTCCGCCGCCTCGCTCGGACCAGCCGGCCGTGCAGCTGCAAACCTTGTGTGTGTCGGGGCCACGGCGTTAGTATGTGACTACCATCGGGGTCAGACCACAGATCGTCCTGGAAGCAGAACTTCCGAAGGCTCCGTCCATGAGCCCAGAGACCGGGAGTGAAAGAGGTGAGCTGACAGTCAGATCCTGCAGAACACGTCTTTGTGTCAGACCTCCTCAGAAAGGATGCTAATGTTATGAAGCTATATGGTGGAGTATCTCCTTTCTGAGACGTAAGTACTTGTTGGTTTGGAAACCAAATGGTCGTCATGAAGATTTAAAGCCAGATTTCTGCGATAACATCAGAGCAGCAGAGAGGAGCCGCTCAAAGAGCAAAACAAAAGCCTGTTAGAGGAGAATACGGTTAGCATTAGCTTTCCGGCTGCTGAAAAGGCTGCAGGATAGCACACATCTGCTCGGCTTAAAGGTTACCAGCATAACAACTAGCGCCCTTAAAATGAGCTAATGTCTTCTAGTGATAGTTGAATTGTCAGGCTGTGGATTGCATCCAACAATAAAGTCTATTGCTTGTGTTGGATATTGCAAGAAGGGATTTGTAGCTTAGCTTAGCTAGCGTGAGGCTAATAATAGCATGGTCTTGGTTGCATTTTTCTCATCAAGCTGTTTTCTAACAAAAAAGGCTCTACTTGAATCCGAATTGATTTGTCGCACCAAAGCCTCAGTTTTAAAATATACAAATTAACCCCTAAGACAGTTTTGTTAGGAAAAGCTCAAGTTGTATGCCATCTGTAGAGGTTTGAACACAGCAATCAATGGAGTCGCCATCTTGGGATGCAGTTCTGCTGCTTTCTTCAAAAAGAGTCAGAAATTACCTTCAGCTGCAGCCAAACTTACAGGTGCTGGTCATGAAATTAGAACATCGTGAAAAAGTTTATTTGTTTCAGTAACTCCATTCAAAAAGTGAAACTTGTATATTATATTCATCCATTACACACAGACTGATATATTTCAAATGTTTATTTATTTTTAATGTTGATGATTATAACTGACAACTAATGAAAACCCCAAATTCAGTATCTCAGAAAATTAGAATATTGTGAAAAAGTTCAATATTGAAGACGCCTGGGGCCACACTCTAATCAGATAATTAACTCAAAACACCTGTAAAGGCCTTTAAATGGTCTCAGTCTAGTTCTGTAGCTACACAATCATGAGGAAGACGCTGACTTGACAGTTGTCCAAAAGACGACCTTTGACACTTTGCACAAGGAGGGCAAGATACAAAAGGTCATTGCTAAAGAGGCTGGCTGTTCACAGAGCTCTGTGTCCAAGCACATTAATAGAGAAACGAAGGGAAGCAAAAGATGTGGTAGAAAAAAGTGTACAAGCAATAGGGATAACTGCACCTTGGAGAGGATTGTGAAACAAAACCCATTCCAAAATGTGGGACAAAGAGTGGACTGCAGCTGGAGTCGGTGCTTCAAGAACCACCACGCACAGACGTATGCAAGACATCGGTTTCAGCTGTCGCATTCCTTGTATCAAGCCACTCTTGAACAAGAGGCAGCGTCAGAAGCGTCTCGCCTGGGACTGCTGCTGAGTGGTCCAACGTTATGTTCTCTGATGGAAGTAAATTTTGCATTTCCTTTGGAAATCAAGGTCCCAGAGTCTGGAGGAAGAGAGGAGAGACACAGAATCCATGTTGCTTGAGGTCCAGTGTCAAGTTTCCATAGTCAGTAATGGTTTTGGGTGCCATGTCATCTGCTGGTGTTGGTCCACTGTGTTTTCTGAGGTCCAAGGTCAACGCAGCCGTCTACCAGGAAGTTTTAGAGACTTCATGCTTCCTGCTGCTGACCAACTTTATGGAGATGCAGATTTAATTTTCCAACAGGACTTGACACCTGCACACGGTACCAAAGCTACCAGTACCTGGTTTATGGACCATGGTATCCCTGTTCTTAATTGGCCAGCAAACTCGCCTGACCTTAACCCCATATAATCTATGGAGTATTGTGAAGAAGAAGATGTGATACGTCAGACCCAACAATTGAGAAGAGCTGAAGACCACAGAGCAACCTGGGCTCTCAGAACACCTGAGCAGTGACACAGACTGATCGACTCCACGCCACGCTGCATTGCTGCAGTAATCCAGACAAAAGGAGCAACAACTAAGTATTGATGCTTGACCAACATTTCTAAAAATCCTTTTTTTTATTGGTCTTAAGTAATATTCTAATTTTCACACTGAATTTGGAGTTTTCATTATTTGTCAGTTATAATCATCAACATTAAAAGAAATAAACATTTGAAATATGTCGGTCTGTGTGTAATTAATTAATATAATATACAAGTTTCACTTTTTTGAAAGGAATTACTGAAATAAATCAACTTTTTCATGATCTTCTAATTTTATGACCGGCACCTGTAGATTCATACGTTATCCCTGAGATCTGGTAAATTATTATGGCTTAATGGACCTTGGGCTGTGTTGGGTAAAAATATGAAATTAAGTCCCATTGAATGAAGAAGACATCCTGGACTTTGTAGTGATGTCAGATTTGTGGAAATGGTGCCAACAGAACTTTTTTTTTTTTAAGAGGACCATTTCCTCTATTTTGTACAGTTTGGAGGTGAACATGTTTCTTTGATAGTTGATAGTTAGTCAACTAAGTTAATAGTCATTTAATCAACAGATTGTTGATTTATTTTTGGTAATGTTTACGCTTTCTATAAAAATTTGAGTCTTTTCTTTTTAGTAAAGTTTTTAGCCCTTTAAAATCTTATTTTATTCCAGGGAAATTAGGATTTACCAGTTCAGATGTTGCCACCTTCTTGTTTCAGGAATCAGTTATTCGACTGAAGCAGAAATAGTTTTACTCTGAATAGATTTGTTTTTAAAAATTAAACTTGGAGCTACCAGAAAATACCTCTACTTCTTCCATCATTTAAAATGCAACTCCATTGTGGTGGTTGAAATTTACCCACCACTTTAGGTTCAGCAATCTGGTTAAAACAAGCAAGAGACTGGTGCTTGAGTTGTATTAACACAGATTGACCATTTGTTTTTATTGAATCTAATTAAACTACACAAATCAGAGCGTGCTGCTGATTTTTAGATACAACCATACAACTTTCCCCATACATTAAAAGACACTTCAAAGTAATAACATTAAAACAAATGAGGTCGTTAAATTACTCCATTATTTTCTGAGATCAAACAGGTCCTGATGTCAATTACAACCAAAAACAATGTTCATTAAAAATAAAAGCATTTGAAAAAAATACAAAGATAAAACTTTGTGTTGCTTTCCAGATTTTAGGAACGTAAATTTATTTAGAAACATTTTAAGTATCGTCTTAATGGTTACCATCACATCAACTCAAGCATCAAACATATTAATTAAAATTAAATATATCTGTTTTATCTGCTGTGTGCTTGTTTTTAATAATTTGAGCTTGCTCACACAGAAAATTTCAATCATTTTTACTGACAGAGGAAGACAGTAAATCTGTGTGTGTAGTATGAAAATTATTGAACCTGTTCCCTGAAGTCAGCAGGGTTGGGTTCACTCATCTTCGCTGCACGGAGGAGAAGATGTAGATTTTGTTGTTGTTACACACCCAGAATTGTGTGTGAATAACTACTATTACTACCACTACTACTACTACTACCATTACTACCACTACTACTACCACTACTACTACTTCTATCATCACTACCACTACTACTATTACCACCACTACCACTACTACTACCACTACTACTACTACTTCTATCATCAATATCACTACTACTACTTCTATCATCTCTATCACTACCACTACTACTGCTGCTACTACTACTACTACCACCACTACTGCTACTACCACCACTACTGCTACTACCACTACTACTACTTCTATCATCACTATCACTACTACTACCACTACTACTACTTCTATCATCTCTATCACTACTACTACCACTACTACTACTACTATTAGTACTACTACTACCACTACTACTACCACCACTATCACTACTACTACCA